CTCTCTCTCTCTCTCTCTCTCTCTCTCTCTCTCTCTCTCTCTCTCTCTCTCTCTCTCTCTCTCTCTCTCTCTCTCTCTCTCTCTCTCTCTCTCTCTCTCTCTCTCATTTTCTTTTCTTTCTCTCTCTGACAGAGAGAAAAATACAATAGGGTTTGATGATTCGAGAATTTGGTGTTTCCTGTATGCTTAAAGAGGGAACTTGCCACAAGATGCACATATATTCTATAAATATAGTTATACTCGCATATATATATATATATATATATATATATATATATATATATATATATATACATATATATATACATATATATATGCGAGTATAACTATATTTATCAGTCGATACATATGTGTGTCTGAGTGCACATGCGCGAATACATTTGTACATATATATGTATGCTGCATAAATACATACAAGCACACACACACACACACACACCACACACACACACACACACACACACACACACACACACACACACACACACACACACACACACACATATTATATATATATATATATATATATATATATATATATATATAAATATATATATATATTTATATTTGTATATTTAAGTATATATATATATATATATATATATATATATATATATATATATATATATATATATTATATACACACACACACACACACACACACACACACACACACACACACACACACACACACATATATATATATATATATAGCTATATATATATATATACATACACATATATATATATATAATAAATTTATAATACATATATGCACATATACATTTGTACATATATATGTATGCATATACATATGTATATATATATATATATTATATATATATATATGTCTATAAGATATATACGTAAATATATAAATATAAATAAATATATATATATATATATATATATATATATATATATATATATATATATATATATATATATATGTGTGTGTGTGTGTGTGTGTGTGTGTGTGTGGTGTGTGTGTGTGTGTGTGTGTGTGTGTATGATATATACTATATATATATATATATATATATATATATATATATATATATATATATATATATATATATATATATATATATATATATATGTGTGTGTGTGTGTGTGTGTGTGTGTGTGTGTGTGTGTGTGTGTGTGTTGTGTGTGTGTGTGCGTGTATATATATATATATATATATATATATATATATATATATGTGTGTGTGTGTGTGTGTGTGTGTATATAGTATATATGTATATATAGATAGATAGATAGATAGATATTATATATGTATATGTGTATATATATATATACACATATGATTGCCATGGACTGAAACCATGACTGACTTGCACACGTTGCAAAGCCGCGTCTGACGTCAATCTACGGATCACAAACAAGCCGGATGTTTCTCAAAACGTTAACTCTTCTGATCAGCTTCTGTTTACGTCAGATTGTAGATGAGGTTTTGTATTTTTGCATACATCAATATACAGGTATGCTACACACGGGCGGACACATGTGCACACTGCATCTATACTGCGTGTATATAAAGGCATATGTATTCATAAATGCGGGATTACCTGCTAATGGAATGAAAAATAAACTATGACCTCGTTCGTATAAATAGACTATGGTAAAAAAAAATGACTCGTAAAATACAACTCAATTCCGCCATAAGCTCTACACGTTGGGATCAGCCTTAATGAACTGGGATAACAGTCAATGCGGTAAGATATTTATTTCATTCATTGGAAATTTTCTGCAGCGTCAGCATCGAGGGTCGTTAGCGGCATATTCAGAATGCAGCGAAAATAAGTAAGTAATAATGACAAGAAAATAAAAAAGGTCATCAAAGGTCATATAAAAACACAGCGAAAGGGTGAGACTTGGTTCATAAGGCGATGTTTGTGGATTGTTAGAATGGTTAACGGATGGTCAACGGTCAAAACAAATAAATATGCCAAACATCAAAGGTCATACAACGCTATGATAAAGTATTATGGCGGAAAGGTTCAAAACGACTTTACGATTAGGACAAAATATGTTAAATGTCAAAGGTTGTAGCGCGCATTAGGTTAGTATGGTAGTAGAAAGGGCAAATAGGGAAAAGGAAACGGAGTACGAAGGATGTTCACGGCAGAAAAGAGAAAGAAGAGAAGAAAAAAAAAAAACATGCAAAATTAGTTGAAGCGAGGGCTGAGGTCCAAGGTAAGGGTGATCCCCTACATTGAGCCTCAGTCTCAGTCTCCTTAGTACCCCCCCCCCCCCACGACAACCCCGAGCAAGGGATATCACTCAAGACTTTTAAAACATATTTTCACACAGTTCACTTTTTTTAGATCTGTCTAAAAGCTTTAGTTTAAAACTGAATGTCTGTTTCAAACTAGCCACTTTCTTAATTTTCTTTCTTTCAGTCTCGACCATGTAAGTACTAAATGAGGACCTACGAATGGAATCGTATCCGTGATTTAGAGTACACGATCCTATGTCTCTCTGAATAAGCTGAATCATAAATAGGATTAACTGCATTCATCTCAGAATAAAATTAAATCGAGGAGTGTTGATGGTATGTCGTGAAGCCACAACGCCATTAGTCGTAGAAAATTAGCATATGTTTAAGCTGTCGACTAAATGCAAGCGTTACTAAGCTAGAAAAATAACAAAGGAAGTACGTCTTCAAGTTGGTGTAGTCCTCTGACTCAACTTTGGTGAGTTTTGTCAGTCTGTGAATATGCAAAGTCATGTTCATTTTTAATTGACGATTATGCTTCGTTGGATTTTCAAAATCGACATATTACAACTATTTTAAATGTGTATCTAATGTTTTGTATTCTTGCAGATGCACGTTTCGTCTCTCTTTTTTCCTCCATAGGCTGTTCGTTGTGACTATACGACTTCTTAATACAAATACAATGTTCGTTAAAATTAATTATGAGTGATTTGTAGCTACGTAATTAATGATTTTAATTTATCAGGCTGATAAGACACTATATTCACAAACTTACGGTTTGAATATTAATAGATAACAAAGGTATAATTTTGGTGTTTTGATACCGCAAAAGCCAGTCGTCGGATTAATGCTTAAGACACTATTGAAAGTATTATGAAGTGAATGTGCATTTGACACCTGAAGCTGATGTACAGATTATGCGGTCATACTTGCCTACGTGGATGTGTACGTGTCATCATTTCTGTAAAGTGTTCCAAGTGTTAAGTCAATTTACGATCAGCCTCTTCAGCTGAACGGATTTAAGTCATTTTCCTCATGCTGTACATTTTCGACATAATTACACATTTTAGATTCATTTACTGATATTTTTTTTCATTTCATATCTTTGCTGTATGTGTTCGATTAACATTAAAGGTAATATTGTGAAGGTGTTTCTCTTAATTTGCTGGAAAGTATCGAATATACTGTCGCATAAATTAGTTGAATTATGGGCTCTTACCTAAATAATTAGAGTTTTAGAACACGAATAGTTAAATGTGCCAAAAGGCCGGTTTAAGATATTTATTAAAATATATAACATATGTGCATCAATACTAAAATCACAAGATTAAAAACGATACAAATAAAACTAGAGCTCTTGCCCGTGATGAACAATGACGAAAGGATATAATGTCTCGTAATTTCTTTGGCGTCTGTCTTCTTGCACAATCACGGGCTCTGGCTCAACTTCCTCTCTCGCGTCTTCTGCAACGGATAGGTAGTACGGCTGCTCTTCATGGAGTTCTGTGCGATCACCTGAAACCAAACGAAATCCATACACTGGTTGCCTGGCTCCGGGACCCTCGCCTTGTTGGTGTTTTCCTTGGGCATCTGATACCTTTTGAGCGTTGTCTCCTTGTGTTTGGTATAATGCTTGGTCTCCCGTGAGAAACTGGGGTTCATGTTGTAGGGGATTTGCGAGAACAATCTGCGCTCTTTCACTGGCTTGGTATTCGCGGTTGTTTTGAAATGCGTGTGGGTTAGACTCCACGGGGAATTGAAGCTCTGAGTCCGTGGCCGAGACGTGTGTATTAAGTGGAGGATCACCACCTGTGTTAATATCGTAGATGTTATACCCTAGCTGTAAGTCATATTGGAAGTGATCACCATATGCCGCTTCTTCGTGGGGAGGTAGACCTGTTGCGTCCCTCTCTGTGAGGAAGCTATAGGCCTGGCGATCGTGGTTCGAAGGTGAATTGACGATTATGCTTCGTTTGATTTTCAAAATGACCGACATATTACAACTATTTTAAATGTGTATCTAATGTTTTGTATTCTTGCAGATGCACGTTCGTCTCCCTTTTTTCTCCTCCATAGGCTGTTCGTTGTGACTATACTTCTTAATACAAATACAATGTTCGTTAAAATTAATTATGAGTGATTTGTAGCTACGTAATTAATGATTTTAATTTATCAGGCTGATGAGGCATTATATTCACAACCCTACGGTTTGAATATCAATAGGTATCAAAGGTATAATTTTGGTGTTTTGATACCGCAAAAGCCAGTCGTCGGATTAATGCTTAAGACACTATTGAAAGTATTATGAAGTGAATGTGCATTTGATACCTGAAGCTGATGTACAGATTATGCGGTCATACTTGCCTACGTGGATGTGTACGTGTCATCATTTCTGTAAAGTGTTCCAAGTGTTAAGTCAATTTACGATCAGCCTCTTCAGCTGAACGGATTTAAGTCATTTTCCTCATGCTGTACATTTTCGACATAATTACACATTTTAGATTCATTTACTGATATTTTTTTTCATTTCATATCTTTGCTGTATGTGTTCGATTAACATTAAAGGTAATATTGTGAAGGTGTTTCTCTTAATTTGCTGGAAAGTATCGAATATACTGTCGCATAAATTAGTTGAATTATGGGCTCTTACCTAAATAATTAGAGTTTTAGAACACGAATAGTTAAATGTGCCAAAAGGCCGGTTTAAGATATTTATTAAAATATATAACATATGTGCATCAATACTAAAATCACAAGATTAAAAACGATACAAATAAAACTAGAGCTCTTGCCCGTGATGAACAATGACGAAAGGATATAATGTCTCGTAATTTCTTTGGCGTCTGTCTTCTTGCACAATCACGGGCTCTGGCTCAACTTCCTCTCTCGCGTCTTCTGCAACGGATAGGTAGTATGGCTGCTCTTCATGGAGTTCTGTGCGATCACCTGAAACCAAACGAAATCCATACACCGGTTGCCTGGCTCCGGGACCCTCGCCTTGTTGGTGTTTTCCTTGGGCATCTGATACCTTTTGAGCGTTGTCTACGTGTGTTTGGTATAATGCTTGGTCTCCCGTGAGAAACTGGGGTTCATGTTGTAGGGGATTTGCGAGAACAATCTGCGCTCTTTCACTGGCTTGGTATTCGCGGTTGTTTTGAAATGCGTGTGGGTTAGACTCCACGGGGAATTGAAGCTCTGAGTCGTGGCCGAGAGGTGTGTATTGAGTGGAGGATCACCACCTGTGTTAATATCGTAGATGTTATACCCTAGCTGTAAATCATATTGGAAGTGATCACCATATGCCGCTTCTTCGTGGGGAGGTAGACCTGTTGCGTCCCTCTCTGTGAGGAAGCTATAGGCCTGGCGATCGTGGTTCGAAGGTGAAAGGGAGGCGTAGGTTAGGCGCGTCGTGTCTCCGGCTCCATTTCCATTCTGGCCATCTTGGACCCACCCTGGAAGAGAAGATAGTGTTTCCCCTTTGTATTTCTAGGAATTCATAGGAAGCATCTCGATGATGTATCAATATACTGATGATAAACGGAGCTCGTATACTAAAACTTGAGGACTAAGTTACCTGCATGTTCTTTCGAGGGAGTGTATGAACCATGGGGTCTGTTTCCTGAAGTCGGTTCCCTGTCGCGCGGTTCAAACTAGAAAGGGAAATGAAATCTGTGGCTACATACTGTTCGACATCATGATCAGTGAAGCAGGTACCTCAACAGGAAATCATATATCATCGCTACAGTAACGAAACTTCATACATTGGGTAATATATGCAGCACTATACAGCAGCATAAGTTAACACATACCATTAGAGTACATTACAATACATTTAGATTAAGTATGAATGGCTCGTACTGTTTAAATTAATTATTATACTAGTCATGCTACTGGCGTATAATCGGTTTGTTTACTACCCATTTCTCTGAAAACAACGATTAGATATTCTCAAAAATCGAAATCGTCAACAAAAATTCGTAAAAGTCATTAGTAAATAGTTGCATTTGTTCCGTGTGCAGTCACAATCAAATGCCCTTTCCCATGGTTGTACAAGTTCAGTGTTAGTTATCTTTTATTCATGCATGTTACAAAATTCGAGACCTAATTTGAAGAGCTTTTGGCCCTGGCTCTATAAATGAATAAGAAGCTCGAGAGAAACTTGTACAACAGGTTAATTTTATATTGGATATCATGACCTTACTTATTTATTAAATATACTGGCGATTTAAAACCCAAGTGAATCATCCAATATACTCGTAAATAGTACATGTTTTCTGCAATTATTTTTTTTCTTACGTTTGTAAATATCTTAAACATTTCAGGCGCGAATACAAAATAAAATGAACTTCACCCAACCAACCATTCTCCCGTTAAACTCGACACATCAACAAACCACCACATCAAAATAACGGTGTACGGGGGGGGGGGGGGGGGGGGGACGGCTTAACACTATCAAAACAATACCTCAAACTTCCATCAATGATTAGCCTACATGAATTACCTTTTTCCATGTATATAATGATCCCTGGCGCTTCACAGAAACTGCGGGGGCTTGTTATAGGATTTCTTTTTAATCTTGGCGTTAATGAGCTTAAAAACTTTGGTCGGATTGACAGTAAATCCCGTTAGTGTGTTTGTTAAATGCTGCGTGTTTTTTTTTACCATGTCTATATCCAGTAGACTTCTACAACCCAGACTATATAGGAGTAGCAGTTATGATGTTATTAGTATTAACGATAATGATGATGAGTTGATATAACAAAACATTAACATTACCAAAATAATAAGAACTATAGCAATAATAATGACAAATTACAATAAGTAATAATAATAATAAAAATAATAATAATTATTATTATTATAACAAATAATGATAAATGCTACTACTACTACTACTACTACTACTAATAATAATAATAATAATAAAGATAATAACAGTACAATCTAAAGAAAAAGTATATGCGGAGTCAGAAAGCATCACAGCGACAAACTTCTTCTTTGGAAAGGGAATCTATGCGTAGAGCGTAAGGAAGGATCACTGAAATGAGGGTTGCCATGGTGACGGAAAGGAAAGTTTGTGTGTGAGGAAGGCTCTGTGAGAGAGAAAGGGTTGTTCGTGTCTGAAGAAAGGCTGTCTGCGTGTGAAAGAGGTTTGTTTGTGCGTGAAGAAGGGTTGTTTGCGTGTGAGTAGGGTTGTTTGTGTGTGATGAAGGGTTGTCTCAGTGTGAGGAAAGAGTATTTGCGTGTGAGGGATGATTTGTTGCATGTGATGAAGGGTTGTTTGCGTGTGAGGAATGGTTGTTTGTGAGTGAAGGAGGATTGTTTGCCTGTGAAGAAGGGTTATTTGCGTGTAAAGGTTGATTGGTTGCGTGTGAGGAAGGGTTATCTGCGTGTGAGGAAGAGTCGTCTGTGCGAGAAAGGGTCGTTCAAATGTGAGGAAGGACTGCCTGAATAAGAGAAAGGGTTGTCCGAGAGTGAGGAAAGGATAACTAACATATGCGGAAGGAACTTTCAGCCGATGAGGTCCAACGAGGTGCGTCGACGGGTAGTGGACCGGAGCGCGTGCCAGGTCGTAACCGAAGGGCCAGGACAGACCCCGGCGAGAGAGGGGGAAAGTGTACACGAACGGCTGGGTGTATCTCAGTCGTCCGCCAAGGGATCCAGGGGGAGGGTCGTCTCCTTCCTCGACGCCCGGTGCCGTTGTCGTTGCGTCTCTTCCTGCCTCACACTTTCCTGCCTGGAAAAAAGAAAAGAAAATGGAACGGGAGACTCGTGTCTGTGTCAGCTGAAGTGACGAATAATTTAATGGGAGACTAAATAATAAAATGATTTGGAGTAGTTGGGTTCTGCTGTATGGAATGTCACTTTTTTTAAATCACAAAACGGAGTTCGATTTTACAAATTAGATATCTATTTGGTACTATACCAAAATATTGAAGGATCGGCATTTAGTTCTTAACTAGCTTTTTATTAACTAAACATTTTGACATTTAAGTTCCATGTGTCGAACCATTAACTATCGTTCACTCAAATATTATTTAAAAGTGATCTTATCACATGTGATCAGACAGAATTTGTAAAACCATTACAATCATTAAAATGAGAAAAGATAACTAAGCGCTTTGTCTATAATGTATACATCACACACACACACACACACACACACACACACACACACACACACACACACACACACACACACACACACACACACACACACACACACACACACACACACACACTATCATTCCACAATAGGACTTTGACGTCTCTAACTTTCTTTTCTTTATTGAGAAGTTGTTTGGCAGAGCCGCCCTTGTTTAATTGAATGGCCTTCCTAATCAAACGCGTTTCGGGGAGCTACCAATCATGTTTGATCTCTCAAGGCGACGTGTCGTGCTTGAGCTAGAAGTCGGAGCGCTTTTTTTTTTTTTTTTTTTTGTGTGTGTGTGAGTGAGTGTGTGTGTGTGTGTGTGTGTGTGTGTGGTGTGTGTGTGTGTGTGTGTGTGTGTGTGTGTGTGTGTGTGTGTTAGTGAGTGTGAGTGAGAGTGTGAGAGTGTGTGTGTGAGTGTGAGTGTGAGTGTGTGAGTGTGTGAGTGTGAGTGTGTGTAGTGTGTGTGTGTGTGTGTGTGGTGTGTGTGTGTGTGTGTGTGTGTGTGTGTGTGTGTGTGTGTGTGAGTGAGAGTGAGTGTGAGTGTGAGTGAGTGTGAGTGAGTGAGTGTGTGTGTGTGTGTGTGTGTGTGCGTGCCTTTGCTCTCGCGCCTGTGTGTGGTTAGTGGTAAACTTTCTCAATTATGAAGTCGCTACTACATTTCTCAGAAAAGACTGAACAAAGCTTCACAACAAACACGACGCACACGTAGAAAGCCCTTAACCTTCTGTAAATAAACGTCATTAATCAGAAAACCACGCGAGCGACATCAAAGACAAGCAGCTGATGCAAAGGTCAATCTCGGACGTCTCTCGAAGCTTCGAAATTCGGAGGAAAAAGACGTTGCAGTGTTGATACGAAGACATAAAAAAAAAAATCCACAGTAAACAAAATTAAACTTTCAAATAAACTCCCTTTGTTAATAAATTCATCTTGTGTAATCGGTACAAGCCCCCAGACAAAAAAAAAAAAAAAAAAAAAAAAAAAATCATGATTATCACTACTATTTTTTTTTTTTTTTTTTTTTTTTTTGCTTGGGGGATTTTTATGTATGTCGATAACCAAAATAGAATTAACAAAATGTGTTTATTAGGTTTTAACAGATTTTTAAAGAGGGAATTCTATGTCTGCGTCGACAAACAAGATGAATTTGTTGACAAAATATAATTAGAACCTTTTTTTTTTTTTGTCTAGTGAGGAATCTTACGTCATTGTACCGATTAAACAAAATGAGTTTATTAACAGAGTTGATTTGAAAGTTTAATTTGCTAATAAGCTCATTCATGACTATCAATTTACACGCATCTTTTAGTTGTTTCATATCCAACCTAACCTGACAACTGGGGGCGGACCCGCGGCCAACCCGGGAAAAGAGAGTTCGCAACTGGTTCGGAATGCGAGACGGTGTTCGAGCCTCCGAAGCAGACGGCGGCTCCTGGGGGTTCGTTGGGTCTTCGTTGGGGTTCGCTGGAGGTTTCTCGGGGTTCATTTGAGGTTCGTTGGGGTTGGTTGGAGGTATGGCAGAAGGGTTGGGGGGTTCCTGTAGGATGAATAAGACCATTTAGGATACTCGATTTGGTTTTGGATTGCATTGGAAGTTGGTGGGGATGAATATGTTCATGGGTTCA